GGAGTGGGAGGGGGTAGGGAAAGGGGTGGGAAGGCGGCAGGATATTTTTCTTTTTCCTTCCCCCCCCCCCCTTTGTAACTTGCAGGTTAAGTGGAGCTAGAGAGCTACATTGTAACCTAGTTGGATTTTTTTTTTTTGGGGGGGGGGTGTATCACAATCTAACGTGTCGTTAATAGAAAGAAGAACAGGCAAGAAGTGGTCCAGCCGGCGAAGGTTGGTGTGTGCTTGTGTTGTGGCTGTGTGTTAGTCTTTCTTTAAAAAAAAATCTTAATCAATGGATTTGAGTGTCTTTCTTGTGCTCTCCGGTTTTGGGACTCTGGAAAGACAGGAATTCCCTTAAAAGCAGATGAATGCCTTTTTGAAAGCACGCATTGTGTGCGTTTCTCGAGGAGCCATGGGCTTGGGAATTAACGGCAGGCTTTCCCGTTTGGTGGTTTCCAGTGGGAAATTACTCCGGAAAGGAAGCCCTTCGGTATCGATTTATTGTTTTTGTCTTTCAAACCATTATCTCTTTGACCAAAATACTGTCTGAGAAGTTCCACAGAGACAAAGTCAGGTAAACTGGATTGGGTAGATCTTTTTAGCAAGATGGTGATAACGTGATGCTGTTTTGGTATCTGTCTGTGATGGAAGCATTGTTGGGTAATAGCTGTCTGAGAAGTTCCACAGAGACAAAGTCAGGTAAACTGGATTGGGTAGATCTTTTTAGCAAGATGGTGATAACGTGATGCTGTTTTGGTATCTGTCTGTGATGGAAGCATTGTTGGGTAATAGCAATTTCTGATCGGTAGAGCATGCTATAAATAAATAAATAAATAAATAAATAAATAAGTTGCCGCTGAAATTCTGTCTTCCAGCCCCCCTCCCCTACACACTACCAGCACCCCGCCTCCCCCCGACCCACAGCGCTTACTACAATTCTGAAATCCGATCCAACTGGAAATATTTTCATTGGAGATTGAAAGTTGTGCAAATGGAAATAGAAAATGAGAATAGAGGTCCTGGGGATGTGGAGAGGGAGTTCTTACTGCCTCCGATGCTGTATTTATTCCTCGTGTGTGTCTGTCCAGGATTCGCAGGGTGTGTGTCTGTTTAAAAGGACTGTTGAGGGAAGGATTTCCGATTTGTTTCCGTTTCAAATAAACTGTCCTGATAATCTCACGGTTGATGTCTAACGCTAAAAGAGCAATTTGTATGTCTCTTATCCCTGCAGAAACTCTCCTTCAAAAAAGCAGTTTATTCTGGAATTCTACAACAGCTACTTTTCCTTCTCACCTATCCCTCCCCCCCGCCCCCACTTTCCCTTAAAGTTTGGTCTGAGTCCATGGTCTCAAAGGAAATACTGACATTACTTGTTTTACTTTTACATTCTTTTTTCTTCTTTTCCTTTTCATTCCTTCTCACTCTTCATCCTGTTTTTCTTCTTTCCCTATAGATTTGTACTAAAAACTATTTTCATAAAATAGCTGTGGCCAAAACTATCGGGCAGTTCAGTTCGGTCCCCTTTCTTTACGCACCTTTCCTCCACACAGGTAAATCTCCTGTGCACCAGCCTAACTCATCTTCATCTGCAAAGCGTGTTTGTGTGCGTGCGGGGTGTGGGGGAGTCGGGTAGAGAAGAGGGCGTTGGAGAGGAAGGGTATTGTTCTGTGCAGGACACATCTGCAACACTGCGACCAGACCTGGACGTCCTGGGGAGAGTTCCCTTTGCACACCCAAGTTAGATGTTGTCTGGCTGGGATGGGAAGGCGGGGCCAAGTGGCCAGGGGCGTTTGAGGGAGGAGAAAGTTTGTTGCACTTTAAGATGTAGCCAGTTTACGATCTCAGGTCACTCCCTCCGCTTTCTCCTGGTTTCTGTGGCTTCCACCATTCTTAAACTCCCGGAGGGAGGCGTGATCTCTTTTGCTCTGACGTGGGATTCCCAGATTTCAGAGCGAAGATGAAGGTGCTGTGTTTTTACCCTGCACTTAATCTCATTGCCTGTTACCAGAAAAGGGTGTTAGGACAGAGTGTTCGGAGCAGATCAGAAGAGAAGGAACAGAGCAAGTATGGTTGAACACAGAGTATTTGCGAACTGCAGTAAATGTAGCCCCAGAAGATATGGAGACCAGGTACTCGGAGTGCTTCTTGACACACGATCACCCCTCCCCCATTAAGGAGAAAAAAAGAAAAGAAAAAGTCTTGGTCTTGGGAAGTCCAATTGGTGTTAGAGCTGGGCTGTGGAAGCTGCTAGCCACTATAGTAACCTGAGCTGAGCTGGGGGAGGAGGTGGTGAGCGAATGCAGTCAGGAGCCAGAGGAGGGAAACCGACTTGCCTCTCTTAGCAGGGAAAATACATGTGTCACTGGAATAAACAAACTGGAGGTGGGGGAGGGGGTGGCTTGTAGTGAACATAAGGAGGAGTGTCTGAGAGGCGGCAGTGTTGGTTAGAAAGGGGGCCACTTCTAGCTTGGGAGAAAATATCAACTGCCTTATATGTTCATGAATGAGCTAGGCAAGTGAAGGGTTGTAATCCGATCTTTTGTATGTTAACATCAGAATGTTATATTGGAAGGCTCTGCTGGGAGGCCCACTTCTAGACTTCACACAGGGGAAACCTAGAGATATCCCTGAGTGAACCGAACAGCCCCTGGTGCCATGGGCGCTTCTGGTCATGTACCTGCATTGCACACACCAAGCAAGCCCTTTGTAAATCACCTGACCTAAATGGGGGCCGGGGCGGACAGTGCTTGGGATCTTTGTAGAATTTAGTTGAAAATGTCAGTGGAGAGAGGTAGTGGGCAGGATTTTGCTAAAGAAGATATTAATAGGTAGACACTTTCTCCTGGATTCCCTATTCCATTTCTGCTGTTATCTTAACTTTGAATTCCATTAGGGACCGAATCAATACTTCTCTGGCACAAAAATGTACATCTAGGAGAGGAGAGTTCTCAAAACATGGGCATTATTTTTAGTCGTACTTCAATCTCTGCTCTGAAGCTTCCATATAATATGCAAAAGGAAGAGGTGAGAAATAGCTAGATGGATGGGACAGCCTTTCTGGGTTCCTGTGGAGACACTGAAACTTGGCTGGGCCTTGGCCTCCCAGAATGCCAGTTTTTCCCTTGGAGACTTGAAGTTTTAATTGAAACCAGAAAGCTATTGAAGGAAGACCTAGCCAATGAAACTCTGTTTTCTCTGATGCTCAGGAGTGGGAAATACTTTTTTGCTGGTGGCATTTCAAGTTGCTTCAGTTTTGCTCCGCCAGAAGAATGGGGAAAATTATTATTAGCACATTAGCACTGTAAGGAGTTGCAGTGCCTTAAAAATGGGATGATGTTATTGAGTCTGTTCAGGGATCCGGTGTATGGGAGTGTCCCAGCAGGGGATGGGGTTTAGGGGATAGGAAGCTGCTCTTGTCCTGGAGGGTTAGCAACACTGGGCTGAAGAAAGAACACTGCATAGAGTTCATTTTGCTTGGTCCTTGGGTTCCTGTGAAGAAGGGAGCAAAACAATCCAATTCTGTTTCTATCCCATGGCATATTCTGCAGCCTGATGGATTTCCCAAAGTGTT